TCTTTCTTTCTTTAAACAAACAAAACCCAAAACAAAAAACAAAACCCCCCAAAACAAAAAACAAACCCCCCAAAGAAAACCTCCAAAAACAAACCAACTTCTACACATAAGTGTAGGAAGTATGTTTAAAACAAAAGCATGCTCAGAAAAATGTTCTTTGCCTTCTAGAACTACAGAAGGCAGGAAATCCCTGGCTCTTGCTGTGGAAAATGTGTGCCAACGTCATGTGGGATTAAACTGAGAGATGGAAGGCTTAAATACCTCCAGGTAAGTTTTAAGCACTCTTTATTTATGACTAATTGTAAATATTGCACAGACTTCTGGTGAACCGAAGCAAAGTGCATTTTTTTCCTCCTTTTTGGTTAGCCAGCAGGGTGGTTTTCTTTTATATCTCAGAATGGTTTCTCAAGAAAGTTCTTTTTTTGTTGTTGTTTATAAATGAAAAAAGGAGACCTCATACCACAGTGCAAAATTCTAAAAGAACATTCTAGATGCTCCTGCAAGCATAAATATTATCAAGGAAATTTAACTGAAATATGAGCTCAAACAACTACTTAGAGGAAATTAAAAACCTCATTTTAAATAAGAAATGGATAAATTAAATTGAAAATGTTAATTTTGAAAAATTTCTCCAGCATGATAGGTTCTTAAACAGAGGTGGATATTTTTCTGGTTAAAACCTATCAGCTTAATGCAAGAAGAGCATATAACATTTTCTTTTATTACATTCCTGAGCTAAGTTTTAGATGGGGAGAGTATGGGAAGAGCAGCAAAGCTGGTGAAGGGTCTAGAGCCCATGTCTTACAAGGAGCAGCTGTGGGAACTGGCATTGTTTAATCTGGAGAAAAGGAGGCTCAGGGGAGATCTTATCACTCTCTACAGCTGCCTGAAAGGAGGTTGTAGTGAGGTGAAGGTCTACCACCGGCTGGTAGCTACTGATAGGACAAGGAGAAATGTTCTCAAGTTGCTCCAGGGGAGGTTGAGGCTGGATATTAAGAGGAATTTCTTTACTGAAAGGGTTATCAAACATTGGAACAGGCTGTCCAGGGAAGTGGTTGAGTCACCATCCCTGAAGGTATTTAAAAGTCTTCTAGATCTGGTGCTTAGGGACATGATTTAGTGGTGGACTTGGCAGTGCTAGCTTTATAGTTGGACTCAATGATCTTAAAGGTCTTTTCCAACATAAATGATTCTATGATTCTATGTGGAGGTGGGAATGTGGTTTTATGTATTTTTTTAAAAGAAGCTCCCAAGTCAGCCAGAAGTTAAATATTCATGTATGTGTCTCTTACAAAGACAGTTCATAGGCCAAACTCTCAAGTTTCTCACTTAGACAAGTTTCTCTTTGAGTTAATGGAAATTTCTTCCCTTTTAAGAGCTGAAAAAGGTCAGGTTTTGGCAGTCCTGACTGAACTGTAATCAATATGACTATGGAAGTAAATAGAAGATGATTACTTTGTTGATAAACAATTGTTTACTAAAGATTTCCATGTTTTATAAACTTCATCACCATGGTACATGAATTGAAATATCAATAAAGGAATAGTCAGGTTGTATAGGATCCTGAAAAGTTACTGTCTCTTATTGTTTCTGTGTAGAGCTAATAGCCCTTCAATCTTTACAGCCAAATGAAACACTTCAGGATGGCTGTGACAGTCACTCCTGTAAAGTAAATGAGAAAGGGGAATTTATCTGGGAAAGGAGAATCACTGGCTGTCCTCCATTTGATTCCAGAAGATGTCTGACTGAAGGAGTAAGTAATGAAATGGGTCCTGTTTCCAGGTTTCCTAATAGACTCTGTCATGTTTATGGTTCTGTATATAGGTACTTTGTGTGTATAAGGGTGGGAAACTCCAAACCTCTCCCAGCACCTTGGCTAAACTGAATTTGAACTTTCTTTGAAATTCAGAAAAAAATGTATGCTTACTTCATTTTAAAATGTATCCTGGCTTTATGTGAAACTATACTGCAGGAGAGAATCTGAACTTGCAGTAATTCTATTCCATATGAAGCAGCAAACACAAGAAAATGGTTATTTTAATGATGTTTTCGGTGTGGTATCCAGAGCCAAACTGTATGGATATTTACACAAAACAGTCAGATCAGCCCCTTTTTGGCTATGGATTTGCATATGAAGTACTAAGACCTCTTTTCTCTACCTTCGTATGAGGTTAGGGAAAGGAGTTTTCAGAGTGGTGTAGGAAGAACTCAACCTTCCACATTTGCAGTAGTTTGGTATAATAGTGTAATAAAACCACCGCTCAACATGTCCACCCATCTTGCCTGTGATTTTGAGGTTAGCCATACACTGAGGAACAGAGTGCAGGTCCTTCTTTTGCGCCCTCTAGCACCACACTGGTGTTTATATCCATCTGTCCCCATTTTCTTGGGCACTACAGGAAGCAGGAAACCTTTAACAAAGCTTGTGCCCAAACCTCTCTCTACATACACATCAAGCACATAGAGGATTTGATGTGCATAATGTAGTAAGAATAAAGCTTCTACAGTGCATTACTTGCTTTGTGAAGTCACTGTAGCAAACACAGGGAGTTTTAGGCAAAAAAAAGATTTAGAAAAATGCTGGATTATGTTACAGGCTTGGGGTTATCATATTATAAAGGTCTTCATTGAAAATCAATAAAAAGTAGTCTTCTTTTTAACCAGAAGCTTCCAAACTACATTTATTCTCTTCTCATCCAAAACAATGAGCTATTTCAGCTATAAAACTAATGGTTTTCATGTAGTTATAGACAGAATATTTAGGGGTTTTTTTAATTAAAAAAAGTTTCCAGACTTTTACATGCAAATTCAGGGGTTTAGTGCAGCAATGGCATCACCCTGCAGTATAAATATTTCTCAATTTCTCCTTTCACTATGGGTTTTCAGTAACTTTCGACTATTCATGTATTTCTGAGAATTATTTTATACAGGGTGGTAATGAAACAAGAAAAATAAAATTTGTGGCTGTTAAAATGTATTTGACAGTTGTGATATGTTATGATGATTTGCCTGTAAATTTTCAGCTGTTGTGAAATAGGCATGCTTTCATCTATATTGATAAAAATTCAAGAGGAACCATTTAACTTCCTTTCTTAAAAAGATATAAGACTTGAATGCTATTGGTTTTATCACTCTGGTTCCCAGTAATTTATTTGTGTTCAATGTTGTTACTTTAGAAAGCTCCTAATATAAGGTGAAAACAATATTTTCAGGTGTTAAACTTGCTGATATAGTCAATTATTTCCAATCAGCTATCAATAAATACAATCACAGTTCAAAACCTTAGAATGTATAGAGAAATTATTACTAATGTAGATTTATATTTTTGTACAATATAGAAATATAATTTTCTTGCCTAAGACCATATTTTAAACAACCCTGTATTCTTCCAGGAGAAAAAATATGTATTACTTGTGCCACAATGTAAGGGTTTTTTTTATTGTTTTAGGGCAGAATTGCAAAAATTGGCAATACCTGCTGTGACACATGTAAGTAAATAAGCCAAATCTTGTATGGAAGTTGCAGAAAGTGTAAGCTACTGGATAAGGAGCTAAATTTTGCATGAAGTGCAGTTTAATGGAACAGAGCTAAGCAACATGGTTAAAATAAACCATCGAACAAGTCTACCCTCTAATTGAGATACTGCTGTCATGTTTTGCCCACTAGAACATGTGTTTTGACAGTATTCACAAGTGCTTAGAAAGAGATACTCTACACATTTTATGCAGATGTTAATTATAAATGGTTTTTTTTATTGTTCATCTAAAGATAACAGGAACAGTATTGCACACACAGGTTGACAAGGCACATTACCTGATACTGAATATGTGAGGCAACCACTTCATTAATAATCAATGAACTTAAAATTAATTTAGCAAAAAAACCCTGGTGGCAGTAATGTAATTTTAATTGGTTTTCAATAATGTAATAACAAAAAAATTATAGAGGAAATGCTTGTCAAAGGTGCATTCTTACTGAATGGCCTGACTGCATCTTAAATTCAGCAGTTTAAGATTCAGATGTGCAACTCTTAATTTCATGCACCATTATGTAGATAATCCAAACGTGAATCAGGCTTTGAGTGTACAAAGGGTTTGCTTACATGAGGAAGGATTGCAGGGTTGAGTTCTCATTTCTGAAATGAATCTCTGATGCTTTTGTGAACAGAAAACCTCTCGGTTTTCTTCTTTGTAAGTAAAAAGATAATAATACTGTTGCTTATTTAAAATAAAAAAATGTATTCTCTTTTAAGGTCAGAATATTAACATCTTGCCTGTGTTCCATTATCTCTTCTCCCCCCCCCACCCCATGCATGTGTTGATAAATAAAGGATGGCCAGCATAGCAGCCCATCACCACACTGGCACAGTAACTGCTGTAATAATACCTCTGATGAAAGACACTAACTCCTAGAGAGTTTGCAGCTATTGCCTGTCTGTATAAGCACCGAGAAATAGAAGTCAGAAAGCTATTGAGATAGACTGTCATCAAATAGCTCAAATAGGTAATTTAGTTAAGAGAGCATTAATGTACCAGGCTTCAAGTAAAGAATACTGAAAATTATTTATTAACAAAAACGGATTTTAAGATTTAAAAGACAGGGTGGTAGACAGGCTTTACTAATTGAGAATGCCTATCACTGCAATTGTGGAGAGGAGAAACCCAATTCCAGATAAGCACAGCTGATGCATACATTTATTTAACAGTTATAGTGATTTAAAAGTGATACCTTCTTGCAGCAGAAAAAGCAAACAGATCTAAGTAAAATATCACATGCCTAAAACTGCCCATGTTGTATGGCCTTCAAATTCTTATTCTCATTGATGTTTACTTGGATATAGCTCAAAACTGAAAAGTCCCATACTGTCCTATGCCTGATTGCTTCTCTATTCAGGGCCCTTCGTAAAGAAAAAGCTAACACACTGCTTGCAGCCAACTAACCATGGGTTATCAATTTAAGGATATTAATTAACACATAGTGTTGGATCAAACAGATACTTATAGAAATCAACTTCTTTCTCATCTGTTTATTTATCTTTTTCCACCAGGGCACTCAGTAGCAACATGATGTCTGTTACATGCTCTACAAGAACAACAAGGCTTGGCTGAGTTACTGTAAAACCAGAGTAATTTAATTATTCTTAGAAGTCAGATAAGAGAATAATAAGTTTCTCATGGACACAGAGGCTTAGATATAGGCTACATTGCCTTCCCAGGTCTTGAGAGAATTTGTCTTCCAGACACTTTGCCCATAAAGAACTGGGCAAAGAACGTTCTCTCAGTTTCAAAGCACAGTTCAGGGTGGTGAACTTTGGTTCCTCCATGGCTTTTAGCAAAGGTTGTTTAAGAAGGCAGTTTCCCTTTCTATGTTGAGCCTTGGCAATTGGAGTTTGCTAGTGTGTCTGAGGGCATTGTTTCAGGTTTTCAGTATGTTGGAGCACATAAGTGAACAGGCTTATTTTCTCTTTAGATTTTTGTGGTACTAGCAAAGGACTTGATTATTTGCAAAGGTTATTCATTATTTTCTCACTTAACAAAGAAGTTTCATCACCACTTCTTACCTCTTTTCCCTGTTGATCTCAACTGCATATTCCTTATTAAGTCAGAAATACTTGCCTTTGCAAAGAAGGCACAGTCTAAAAAAAAAAAAAGTAAATGAGAATAATAAAGTAATTTGAGAACAAATTGATAAGTTAGGATCAAAAAGATGATGAAAATGTGTTAAGTCTGATGACAATTATTTTGTTTGGGCTTTTCAATTGTGTAGGCACAATTATGTAATACTTCCAGGTGCACAAGTTATATCAAAGAAAGTGATTAAATCATTAAAAGAGAATTGGCAGTTCCAGCCCTGGAGCCAGAAATGCTTTTCAAGCTTTTTTTTTTTTAATAATGGAATGTAAAGTCTTAGCAAGTCACAGAGCCAATATGGTACTAACTTTCCCATGGAACAAGTATTGAAAGCTATGTTTGCTGCAAGGAAGATATATAAATTTAAGAGAAATTTATCCATCTACTTAATTATGCAGTTGGTCAGCTGAATTCTTCATGTTCTCTGACATAATGTTGTGTAGTACGCAAAAAATAGTTCAGTATTCTGGTAAATACAGAAATTCCATTGTTTAGCTAGAAATGAGTAAACGTGGGAACTTGTCTTTATGCAGAGACATAGAGCTATATTAACACTATAAAGACATGCTGTTTGTACTTCATAAAGTATCCACTTAATAAAGCTTTAGTTCCTTCACAAGTCTTTAGACGTGGACCAAAACAGACAAGAATGTTCAAATATTCTGGATTAGTCTGTATTTGAATATGTCAATGGTGAGGTTCCATTTGAAAGTGGAGGAGCAGTCATTCTTGACTGCTGCAATTAACAGATCATAGCAAACCAACCTCACTTCCCAAAGTGAGATCAGCAGATTCCCTAATCTTGCACTCTCCACACACAAGAAATCTAGACCTACTGTCTCTTATGTGAATTTCTCGTTACTTGGGTAAAAAACAGAGAGAATTTACCTAACAATAAGAGCAAAAAGTATTGGAAAGCAAGTATCAGATTATTTAATGACTTTCTGAAGACAGTGGAAAAATTTTCATTGACTCAAAGTTCGATTTTCACAGAAATATTTTTCTAATTCTTTTTCATAGTTTTTCTTTTTTGCCGTGTTAGTTTCCTGCAAAATCCACCATACATGCAAAGACTGTTGGGATTTGTCAAATCTAGGAGTCTGATAGAGGCAAGGCTGCCACAGTTCTGTGTCCCCAGATCTGGGCAACATTAAGGCTGACCATGTATCCCAAGAAGCCCACACGCAAACAGGTATATGCAACATGCACACATATATTCTTTATGTTCATGCACAGAAACACTCAGTACTCTGACAAACACAAGCAGCACCCATATTCTCATTCTGATCTCCCTCTGGCTGATCAAGATGAAGGTTCTTAATGGTTTTAGGCACCCACTCTGTCCAGTAACTGGTCCAGCATCCCTGCTAGCCTATATTCGTTGGCCCTCTGACCAATTCCAGTTGTTGGCAGTAACACCTCCATACACACACATCCACACAGAACAGAGTCCATCACCCTATACAAGTAGTTTGAAATGGAATTTAATAAGATGACAGGGCAGACTACAGTGATCAAATGTAGGGCAAGGTCAGACAAAAGTATGGTCCAGCAGCTGATTAATATTCAACTAGCCCCTTTTATACCTTTATTCATCTATTTTCCTATGCTTGTCACTCATCAAACCACCTTAATCCCTCTATCTCCCCACTTTTGGTTCCTTCTCTAAAAATCTCATTATAAGTAAGTCATGTGGAATCCCAAATTGTTCTTCCTTAGCATTGCATAAGGAGTCTCACGCAGTCTGGGAGGCAGTGACCCGCCTCAGTCTGTAAGGTGATCTGGAGAGCTGCTCCCACTGGCTCATCTTGAAGGGCATCATCCCAAGACAATGGGATCTCTCTTCTTTGACAGCCCCAGGAACAGCCATGTCTGGGTGGTCTTGTTCTCTGATTATGTTATTTGGTTTCCCATGTGTGTCATCTTTTTCCTGTGCACCTGCTTGCCCAATGTACCATTGAACTCTCTTTAAAAAGAGAATTATATGACACAGAAGCCAAAAGGTCAAAGACAGACATTAGTTGGCAAGCTGACTTTAAAACAAACCAATCAATTGAAAGGAGACATGAGGAAAACCCTGCTCTCCAATAGAATTGTAGGGCTGCAATGTGATATAGTCACACAGCTCCACATTACTCTAAGTACACACACTTAATTCTCTTGCTAGGGCTCTTACCAGTAATGACATCTCATTAATAGCAATTTCAGTAATAAGGGGAAGGGAGTCAATAAACCAAAAACAATTGTCAGCACTGTCATACATTTTTTTTTTTAAACTTGGTAGGTGTGGAGGTGGAGTGTCGCCCAGTAAGTGCCAGACTGCAGTACAGGAATACCAATGGATGTGTGGCTGAAAGGGAAGTGCCTATTTCTCATTGTGAGGTAAATAATAAAAGCAACTCCCCCCTGCCCCCACCCCAAGACCTGCCTTTACCCCCATTTTCTCTTCCACAAGGGAAACCTTTTCTTCCATTATGGCTTCACTTCAGTAAGTGGAACATCAGTTTCTGTCCTTCTCATTGATTCACTCAAACGGCATAAATCTCATTGGCACTCATTTCCTAAAGTAATTAGCTGAATTTTCCCTATTAAAGCCAGCATGAAAAAAAGAGCACATGTTAGACACAGAGACTTTGTTCATACCACTCTTCTTTGCTTCCATCGGAAATTAATGACTCTGAAGTGACTTTCTTAGGACTTTCTACATTAAAAGAAATAAAAATTTCATATTAGTGAAGCTGTTTTTCAGATCTGAGTCTACAGGTAAGCACACATATCCCTCTTGAGGCTCTGAGAGTGTAAACAGGTATTTAAATGCATGATATTTTAAAAGACATTTAAACTTGAGCACTATAATTTGACTTCTGTGCTCTATAAGCTCTATGATTCCTCTATTAGCGTGAGCACTAAACTATTATGTTCTGTGTATCTTGTGCATTTCTTCAGTAATCAGATTAAAAGTTTAATTTCCTGAGGATCACTGTTTACATGTTACAGGGCAACTTCCATTTGAAACAGGAGCATGGCTTCCCTTTTGGATGTTCCCATCTCTCAGAGACTGGGAACCAAAGATTACATTCTCTTCCCAGCTTGGGTTGTGGCAAGACAGCTGCTCAATCTGCTATAACCAAGCATCATACAAGGATTGTATGCAACCCTCGTATACAGTTCAAACAGTGGCATACAAGGGTGGCAGCCAAGAAGATGGCTTGCACCCAGTGCTTTGAGTGTTCTCACAGTAGGCAAAATGAGTCTTTCCCTTTCCCATGACTACTGGGAAAAGAATGGAAACAGACATGCCCAGACTTTTCAGATAGCTACCTGGTGAAGAAGAGCCTTCATTTGCTACAGAAGTCTCAATAAAGTAGAAGCTTTAAGAACAACAACAAATAAATTCAATTAAAAAAAAAAAGAATGATAACAAAAGTTATTGACCTCTTGTCCTGTCAATGATAATCAGGTCCCTAGACAAAAAATCATATATATTGATGTTTTCCTGTAAAAACACAGATTTTATATTGTAAACGTGGCCATATATTGAGTTTAATACTCTTGCTATAGCTGGGGTTGACTACAGTTTTTCTTATGTTGTCCCCAATAAAGCTATGCAATTTTTTGGTATTAATCTCAGAAACAAGAGCACAGACTCACAAAAAGAAGTGGACTGTGATAGAGTTTGATGTGGGGCCATTGATTTTTTTGTTATATATCATGAAAACTTAAAGCTATAGGCAATGACAGTCCGATCTAAATTAGTAAAGGGTCCAGGCAAGTGAAACAAGGAAAAGTAATAAACAGCAGGACAACAATGGATATGTGGTTTACAAGATTTGGGCTAAAGCACTTTCTGAATACATGATCTCATATAGCTGAGACCATAACCATATGTGCTTAGAAACCAACATGATAGCCCTGGACATAACTGATGATATTTTAAATTGTAGGCTTTTTTTGTGTGGCCAGTTTCTTCACCTCTCCTTTGCTGCGTTTATGCTCGTAAGACATTACTCTTTGACCAGTACCTCACACTGTGGAATCAGATACATGTTTCTGAGTTTGTGTTTTACAGCAGAGCACTGAATTCCAGGCAAAGTTGTCCATGGATGTGTTGAAGGGAAGAACCTGGATTATGACTGCTTTGAGTTCTGACATTGTTCAAACTTAGTATTTCTTTTTTCTCTTTAGGGAAAATGCAGAAGCAATACCAGATACTCTGTTCAGACAGGGAAGTGGGAAGACCTGTGCAGCTGCTGTACAGCCACTCAAACAACTATAGTTACAATCCCCCTCTGGTGTGCCAATGGGACAGTGGTGCAGCATTACATCCCGTCTGCCTCTCAGTGTGAATGCTATTCTCGCAAGTGCACAGACTGAATATTTCCAAGAAGCCCAGTTGTGTATTCTCAAGTTTTATGATGAAGGAACTTTACAGTGCAAGCCTCATTTTCTCCTTGTAGACCATTTTATCCAGTAGAATCCTGACTAACTAATTGTATTAACATAGCAAAAAATAAAACTTACTAGCACAACAGAGCATTTTCTGATTATTCTTGGGGTTGCTTATAGATAAGATATTGCAGACTGTATTGTTCTTCATCTTCATCATGGAAAGTAATCCACATTGTTAAAAAAATGCAAAACCACAACACAATAACAGAAATAGTTGCTTCTACTTAAAGAACATTTAAAGCATTTAGCATTTAGCACTATATTAGCATTATACACTTGCATTCCCCATTTTAGACCTTAGTGACACATTGTGGGCTTGTAGGTTTTTGGTCTTCTTTTCTTCTCCAGTCAAGGAGTACAGTAATTATGAGTAAGACTACATAGTAAGAGAGTGATGTTCTTGGTACACAAACAATACTGGTTATGGCTCCAGAAACCAAATATCTTGTGCAATACAGATACGTGTTCCTCCTGAAGCTGAATGCAAATAAACTGTGTGCTAAGGACAGATTGCGCAACTTCCCTAAGTCCTCAGTACTTGTGAACAGCCGAGGGACAGCTCTTACCTAATTACTTCAGCACTTACACAGACCAACTTGAAGAGAAAGCTCATCAGTAATCTCTCTTATTTCCAGGTACCAAAACTTCATGTGTTGCATTAGCTACAAAAGTTAGAGTTCTTTACAATGCAGAATTGTCAGTCACAGATTTAATTTAGTTACTGCTGCCAGGGATAAATTTAGCAAGATTTAAATTCTGCTTGTTCTGGTCAGGCCCTTAAAGACAATAGATTTTCCAGAGGGTTGTTGGTCATGGTGGAATCTGGTGCCAGTCAAGCAGTTTCACTGGGAAGTACCATTTTCTCATAAAATAGGAAAGGGAAAACTGTTCATTCCATTTGAATTTTTGAAAGTCAAGAAATATTTAAACTTCTTGTTGAATTGAGTTAACATTTAAAAAAAATATTTATAATTCAGCTATAGAAGGTGTACTAAAAATAAATAAACACCAAACTTTTCATATGTTTGTGATGGAAGTGATAAGGATTAGAAATGGGTTATGGGTGCAAAAAAAAAAATCAGCTCTAGATGGTGTTCATGAACTAGTGAAAAACGTGTATAGTAGCCCTGAAGGGTAAGAGTGCTCCCTCTAGAGTCCTAGCGGAAAAGGTCAGGAAATCAGGTTATTGTGCAGCTTTAGATTGGCATCTGTAGAAATGGAAGGCATTTCAAAGGACGTTGTCACCATTGCCCCTGGGTCACAGCAAGGAAAGTTTTGAGATAAAGAGCTAATGCTCTTTAAATTAATGCCAATTTCACATTATTAAATGGATCAAAACACCTCCCCACCTGCACAAATGGCTCCCTTTGGGATCAAACAAAAACTCTCTCTGTGCTTTCATTTAAAAAGGCAATTAGTATTCCTTTTTGAGAGGAATCAAGCAGATCACTGCTTCTTCTCTTTTGCCATTCAGCTGTGGACATACTGAATTGTAGGCCTTCTTTTCTCTTATTCATACAAAGCGTCTTCTATTGCTGAACAGAGCTAGAAGTGCAGGCCTTCTATGCATCTCTGTTTCTTATGCTATGGGACCACAATAACCCCAGGAAGAGAAATCAAGTTCTAGTTGACACCAGCCTCACTTACTGTGGTAGATCTCTGTCACCAGTTTTACTTCATCCTCACACTAGTTGTAGCTGCCTCCAGATATTAAGCTTCCTAACAGATAGATTTGGGTCACCCAGGTAATCAGCTGCATAGGAGCTCATCTGAAGCTGCAAAGAAGCAAATCCTGGAACAGCAGTCTGCAACATCCAAGAGGACCAGAGAAAAGGATTGGTTCTGTGGTAAAATGCAATGCCTTCCTCTTTCCCCTTACCATCACTGCACTGCCCCTTTGTTTCCATCGGTGCTCTCACCCAGACTGACCTTTCTTAGCTCATGAAAGCTGACAGGATTGGAGCCTAAGGCTTCATGGCTGCAGACAAGTCTTCTAATCAGATGATTGTAAGAGTTGGGCACCAGCTTATTGGCATGGGGAGGACGTGCAGTAGGGAGCCACAGTTTTCTGAACTTCTGAAAAGCAGACATGCACAGCTAGTATTTACTGGCATCAAAGTGGATGGACAGATCTGACCAACAGAGGAGCAAATATTCCTGCTTTCATCACTTCTGCCTCAAATAGCAAGAATATTGTGGCTCTAAGAGGACTTCTCGCACTCTTACCCTGCTCTAGCAGTTTCTCACAGGAGCCACCATTGTAGCCCCTCTCCTGCTACCAAAACCCCACCACACAAATCTAACACAGATCTCTGGATTATATATTGGAAAACTGCTTGGTTGTAGGATCAAGCTCACAGCAGGGTTCGCTCAGTGTAATTAGATACGCAGAACTGCATTAAGACTTTACACCAGTTCAAGAATGTGTTTCATACTACACAGCTTTTCTTCACCTTCCTTGGTTGCAATTTTGCTTTCAGGCATCTCTGCTAGTATATGGATTAATGTGGGTGCACAATACATCCCATGAGAACTTATTGGCTTTTCTTACAGAATAGTGCTCTGTGGACTTCTATATGGTCTATGTGTTACTATTCAGATCTGGTTAGTACCTACGTATTCCAAGTAAAGACAAGGCCTTGTTGTGTTCAAGGTCAGAAGCTTCTTTCTTGAAAATCCTGACACAGAAACAGGCAAGTGGAAAAGAGCAAGAGGAAGTGAATGTTATAACCTCCATTAACATTCACCAGCAGATTTCAGGCTTTAAGGAACATTGGTTTTCGACTTGTACCTGCTGCTTGTGGCTCTATATAGTTTTGATTTAGCTTAGTCTTCACCTTTCCGCCAATGATTTGGAACATATCCCACCACTTCAGAAGACTGGATCACTGAGCATGCTACAGGATAGATTTACAGGAACCTTAAATGGATTTCAGGAGGAGTCTTATATAACTTATTAATTATTAAAAGCATCTAATCTCTTTGCTAACTTTTACAGACTTCCAAGCGCTACTCTTCTGCAGCAGGTGAAACACAATCTGGTATATTTGCATTATTTGTTGCAGCTCTGTGTATCTTAGAAAACACAGTGATGCCCAGATACGATTTTCTCTATTGGAAAATGTCCTAAAAAATAGACTACAGATTCAGCTTCATTTTAACCAGTTGGATATTGCTTCCTCCTCACATTGCCTCCTGTGTATATTATTTATTACCTGAGCTAACTGTATTACCTGTAATGAACCCATCCTTATGGCTTATAGGAGCTAGTAATTTGAACTCATGCAGACAGAGCTTTGTGTCCACAGGGATTCTGGCAGGATATCACTCTATAGTCTATTCCAAAATTAGTGCATATGCCTTTCTGTTTTAACATTTAATTGGTGCAACATATAATATGGATCTAAAATAGCATAATTTTCAGCAAGTTTTCATTCCCATCTCCCAGAGATAAGTGCATACAAAGCAGTATCTGTCTATCCAGGAAGCAGATTAATTAGTTATAAAACATCAAGGCAAAAAGCAGTTCAACAGTTGGTTTCCTTGGAGTATTCTCTGATCCTACTTTATTAGCAAAAATTTACCAGGAGCAATATATGATTGCACTATCACCCTGTGCCTAGTAAGCATGAACTACATTGAGATCTGTGCAGCTGTGGACATTGAAGAAAAATGATCAAGTAAAGAGCAGTTCATTTGTTCAAGTGGATGGTGTGGTTATGCAATCAAAAAAATTACAGGCACACCACCTAAAACCTTGCATGCATGGGCTAATGTACAAACAAATGCCTATATGAAGTATCATCTCCCCTGATAGAGAGCTTACACCAAGCAACTGAGAACACCTTCTAAATTTTTTTTTTCTTATTAATTTCTGTGATCTAATAGTTTTTAGATTAATCAGTCCAGAAGATGTGGCATCCAGGTTGTTCTCTGTTTTGTAATTGAAGGTCATTTCTAAATGAAATTCTGAGATTAACATAAGACACTAGCTGGGTAAGGACAAGCATTTCACACCTATTGATACTTTACTTGGAAACTAGGAAATGCCATTTCAAAGAAGGGACTAAGAAAAGTGGAGTGATTTAAATTTTCCTATCTGAAGACATAATTCTATGTGAATACTAAAACAAATGCTAAAAAAGTATTTTGTAACATTTAATGTACTCATCTTCCCTGTATTCACAAACAAAGACTTTATCGTTACTTTTACCCTTTTGTCAGAGTTAAAATGTAGTGCAGCAAATTTTGACAGACCTGTGTAAGGGTGTTCAAGATGGAGTCAGGACTCCTGATTCCTCTGCCTTTTAAGTAAAATCAGGCATATAACATTAGTGTAGGTTACACAAAGTTTCCTGTGTGGCACTTCAGTTGAGCTAGAGTAAACAAATGAACACAATCTAATTTTAACTCATTCTTTTTGGTCTGCCTATAGCTATTTCATTAAAAGGGCAGCTACTCAGTTAAAGTGTGTTCAGAGTTTAAACCAGTATTTCTCAGCCTTGCTGGCAAAGTTTTAGAGCACCCAGCCTGTTTTGGGACACAACAGCCACACTACTCCCTGTATAAACTCAGTATCTTTGATAGCTTTGCCACAGTGCATCAATACATCTTTCTGTGATATAGACAGCTGCTACTCTTGCCAGTCATGACACAGTGTGTGATCCTAATTCACAAGCTAGTAGAAACATCGTACTTCATTCAGTCATTGAATAACTCAATTTCCCTCCTCTCACACAAGAGAAACTATTGTAGTGTTATATATAGGCTAAATAAGAAAAATATTTGAACTGTAAATAATTACACTTCCAATTATAATCAGCAAAGAGAAGTCTTTTCTCAGATGGTAATAGTCATCAATAATTTTTCTTCCCAATACACTGAATAAATGGTAAGGTTGAAGGCTAAGCAGGATCCATCCTCTGTTCTGATTAGACAGTTGATTACAAGATAATCCCCTGAATATTTCATGCAGGAATGACAGTGCAGCATCCAGGCAGTAGGGTAACTTGAGTAAAGCTAGAGACATAAAAAGGTTTCTGCACTTACCTCCTACCTGGAAGCACTGTAAAGCTTTGCAGT